ATTATTAACTCGGCATGCTAAATTTCGTAACTTTATGATCGATCCCTGCCGAGATACAGAGCGAAACGGAGCTGGACGTACTGTTTGCACGCGCGAAGAACGAATCTGGCATTTAAATATCCTTAGATATTCAAAATCGAAGGCACAGACGTCGATTTATTTGTGAATCAATACTATATACGGAGGTAACTATCTATGTAGAGCGAGAAATCTATGTAAAGTCATTCTTCTCACGTACAAACAGTATGCTCCGTTTTGCTTCGTGTCTAAAGAGTAGGTTGCCAGAAAACCCTTAAACCAATAGGATAAACTGTCTCCTCTGCAGCGAAATTTTCCAGATGCAATCTTCTCGCGTGCAAACGGTACAAAATCGTGCAACTTTTCCAATTCGCAAAAAAGTTGACGAGAGACGAAGGAATCCGAGCGAAAGCTCACGGTGGCCGCGGAGGCAGTGGTTACCTGGAGCCGAGCATTTTCGAGCCCTTTGTCGTGCGGAAGCCTTGATTAATGGCCTTCGTCGTGGAGACGGCCGCGTTGTATATTCGCCAGTAGAAAAACAGCATGACCAGCATCGGTATATAGAAGGAGCCCAGGGCGCTGGAACGCGAGAGAAAAATAAAAAAAAAAAGGGGGGGGGAAAAGAGAAGAAAAGTTTTTAATCTCAATATCCGAGCGCGCAACGGGGGAACAATTCCGCGAGCCGCGAGGGGATCGTCCCTCGCCTCGCCAGGAACAATTTCAAACGCGGATCCGCGCTTAATGGACGTGGCTATTAAAACTTTCGTTTGATCTCCCTGGTACCGGGCCAGGATTAGTTAACCATTTCAATTCTTACGGACCGTTTCCTCGTTCCATTCTTCGATGGTTAGCGAGCGTAACGGAACATGGTTTCATTGTCCAACAAAATTAGACGTTATCACTGTTGAGAAATTACGAGTTGAGATCTCTCTGACAAAAAATGCATGTATTACTTCTGCTTGGTCTGCGAGCCTGCAAAGTTTCGTACGAATCAGGACCAGACCTGAATCCATGTTCGTGGTCCTGTGAGGGTTATGAATTTTTTTTTTGTTAAGGCACCTGATACCTCGACCTCGAGATCAATAATACATGTCACCACCATCTCGAAATGGCATTCTACGATTAGCCAATAGGAAATTTTAATGGATGAAATATATTTTCTTGATACACACAAGTTAACGCGTCGATTGGAGTCGTATATATGTCCGACGGCCAATGGAACGTCGCTCGGTCTACTCAGCGATTGATTTAGATGCAACGCCAAGAATAAAGCGATCTGAATCGATTCGCGCGCCGATCGCGATAATACACGGTAAGAATAGAACCAGTCTCTGGCAGATAATCAGATCTCACGCTTGACATTGCGATGGTTTCTGCTGCATCGGACGCGCCGAATTAGTGCAGTGGAACTCGGGTTACGTAAGCTAGTAAAGATTTTATTCCGACGCTATTTACGTCACGCGTTTCTTAGCGGAAGCGAATTATCCAGAAGGGTCCGAGTTCTCGAAGCGTGAAATTTGTATGCCATCGATCCTCTTGATTCATGGCAGTTGATAGTTTCACCGATGTCGGGAATAAAAATGCATGGGATGTAAACATGGATTCTGGGATTTCGTGGAATTTTCAGCTCTTGACATTTTTATTTTAGTATATCCGAAGCATCGAAATTTCCATGTTGAAAATTTCAGCACCCGATACTTCGATCTTAGGAAGCTTCGACACCCGAAATTTCCATGTTGAAAATGTTGGCTCCCGATACTTCCATCTTAGGAAGCTTCGACATCCGAAATTTCCATGTTGAAAATTTCAGCTCCCGATACTTCCATCTTAGGAAGCTTCGACACCCGAAACTTCCATCTTGAAAATGTTGGCTCCCGATACTTCCATCTTAGGAAGCTTCGACACCCGAAATTTCCATGTTGAAAATTTCGGCTCCCGACATTTATTTCCCCCGGAACCTCGAGGTTTAGCAATTACTATAAAAAAGAAATTCAATCTCGAAAGCCAGAATCGCGAGGGGAGGGGTTGAAATCATGAGAAAGTTCACGTTTCTTGTTCGGGATTAACGAGACTCACCTATAGACGACGTAACCAGCATCGTTGGTGAGCTCGCAGATCCAAGGACACGGTTTCACCGGAACCAGGATGGTGGTGGTGTTGAACGGCCCCTTCTGAGCGGATGTCACGTTGTACGTGGGATGCGACTGCGGAACCAGCGAAAGAAAGTAGAAGAACGTCGTGTAACGAGGAAGAAATTGTCGGGGATGATGCTAGTTACCCGTTTGTCTTTCCAGCCGACGAGGGGTGGGAAGCAGATGACGAAGCTGAGGATCCAGACGGTGGCGACTAGAAGTCTGGCCCTCTTCGGTGACATGAGCTGCATTTCGAAACCAATTCAACCACGTCAGCAATAAATCGTTCGATCCAAAGGACACCATTTTTTAAAATATTTAAAAATGTTGTATACATTAGTCTAACCCTTGGAAGCCTGATTTTCCAAACTGAATTCTACAAAATATCGATATATTTATCGTGGTACCCAGATAGAGGGAAAAATAATAAAAAGAAATCACAAATTATGCAATGCAGCCAAATATTTAAAACCAATGGCAAGTGTACGATTCGATTTAAAAGTCCAGTATCGAATTTGAAACTTAGGTCATTCAAGGGTTAAACGTTATTTCTATTTTCTGTAAAGTTGGAAAGGAAGTCCCTTGAAACAATTCGAATTCTAATTGAAATTTATTTAACTATCTTTTTCCATTAGCTAATAGCGTTTTCCGAAAAAGAATCTAAAAATAGGTCGGAGCTATGGTGGTTCTTCAAAAAAAAGAGAGAGAGAGAAATAAAAGAATGACTTCGTTTCCAACCTCGTGCTCATGCGAAAGTTACATTATGGTGCGCATCGGAAACTTCGGACGCGCGTCAGGAGTCAGTGGGAATATCAATCGATCGATTAAGTCATCAGAGGGAAACATTGGCCACTAAGGGGCGTATTTGGAGAGAACAAAGGAGAAACCGGAGGAGACGAATGGCTTCATCGAGCGTGGCGGCCCGTACACCTGTTTCTCGAAATCGAATAATGGCTGAACGGGGGGTACTTGCCTGAGGGTAACAGACTGGCCTGGTCACCGCTAAGTATCTATCGAGGCTGATGGCACACAAATTCAATATCGACGCCGTGCACATCCACACGTCCACTGCCAGCCAAACGGAGCACCAGATATCACCGAATATCCAGACCTTTGTAACAAAAATTGCTCGCTTTATTCGTCCCTGTTACAATGTTTTCAGTAGAATTAATTCTTTAGCAATATCCTCCGTTGCAGAATATCTAGATTATTTAGTTTTATTATCTCTCTACGCAGCCGATACATTATTTATTTAACCCTTTGCACTCGAGAGGTGACTTGAGAGACGTGATTAGGTTTCACGCAGCAAATCTACAATACCTAATGTTTCTTTAGGTTTAATTTCTTTGGAGCTCCAAGTGCTAATAAAATGATTGTCGGCGACGTAAAGGTGACCTTATCCTGAAATCTAGATAGCTTAACATTCATGGCAATAGAAAGCTAAGAGACATCTCGAGTTGCTGATAGATACCAACAAAAAAATGACCTCGAGTGCAAAGGGTTAATTTTCGTAAGGTGCCACTCTATTCGCTCGAATTTAAAATAATTCTTCCTCGAACCTACTGTTATCGTTCCTCACCCCCTTCCACTATTTTTTTTTTATAATAACCAGATTTTCGATCATTTTTCACCCGTATCTCAAGCGTATACACTTTCCTTTTACGATCTAGTGGCTTCTCGCGATTCCACTACCCGTCTTCGTTCTCTTCCCCTCTTTTTTTTTATTTTAGCGGGAGATCTAGCGCTGAGCTGCTTCGGAATCCACGTTTCAGCGATACGTACCCTTCGCACAATACGATTCCTTCATCAGTCCCCCTCCATTCGCTATTTCAATCTCCTCATCCTTTCCGAACATCGAAACCAATACTGCACCGAAGCTCCCCTTATTCCATCGCGCAAAGCTGACTCGAGGAACTCGAGGCTTGCGTCGGCAAGAAATGCGAATTTTCTATCCGTAAGCGATGCGTTTTTTGAGATTTATGTATTTGTAGCCGCCAGCTACCGAGCTCCGATGGAAACACGGCCAGGTTGCGCGTTCGCGTCAATAATGCACGGCTGGGAAACAATTCGAGGATCGTGTTCCCGAACGGGTCGTGTAGTCGAATCGAATTTCGCCAACGGGACATTCTTTTGTCTCGGCCAATCGTTCAATTTAGTTACGTTTCACAACATTATTTTATGCAGGCATCGCTTGTTAATATTACGCGTACGTTATTAGCCGTAATATTTACTGGCCATTTCGTTACAGTATCAACCTTCGTAGGAACGAAACATACGAATTAGTTACATTTTGATTTTGAAATAGTTTGTGCTGTTTCGGATAATACGATTTTCTGTTACGAATAAATGGTGAGTTTATTATAGAAGAGAATTAATTTCTACACCTATCAACCCTTTGCACTCTCAGTCACCATTAGGTTTTCTTTAGGTTTAATTTCTTTGGAACTCGAAGTGCCAATAAAATGATTGTCAATATTAATTCAATATAACTCGATCAATATAAGTCAATATAATTTTAGCATTCGTGGCAATAGAATGCTAATAAAGGATCTCGAATTACTGGTAGATACCAAAAGAAAAGGCCTCGAGTGCAAAGGGTTAAATAATGTATTTATTTAACGCATTATACAATTTCGTGTCGATTCTTCCTACAACACCCTTCTCAAGGTTATTCATTAACTCGATTCCTCCCCGTATCCTCCCTTGATTCAATATTCCGGCAATCCCCAGACCCAATCCCAAGAGCTCGATTATCGAACACCGTACTCCCCATTATGGACACCCATGACGCACGTCTCCCGACGCATTATTCCCAGGTAAGACAAGAACACCGCACGACGCCTGGATAGAGCCGTGATGCGGCGGTAATGGAATGCACCCTTCCTGAGTGCACGCAGCAGGTGCAACGGGGGTTCCAATCCGCCCCGGCGCAACGCTCCGCAAACCGTGGTGCACGCGCCTGTACAACCACCTGTTTCGAATTACCCTCGACCCACGACCCCGTCGTTGTTCGATTCGATTAGTTCCCTACCTCCGCCCCTAGCGCCGCGTAATAAACGCTCCTCCTGTTGTTATTAATCCCGTTCCCGTGCGCTTTCGAGTAAACGTTACGCCGCTTGCTCCGAGAATCGCCGATTAGACGTTTCGTTAAACCCGTTGGCCGAACGCGTTACTGGCGCGACGCTGCAATTCTTGGTAGCCGGTAAAATATTCGATTGCACGACGTGGAGATTAAAAGTATCGGGGTGAGTGCTGTCGGGATTGAAACGAACTTTTATTTTGGAATTAAGTGAGTATAAAGCGAAGAAGAAAATTCAAGTAGATTAGACCGTGCCAGATCAAACAATAGCGCCACTCCTGCCTGATTGAATAACAGAGAACCGTGTCAGGACAAACAATGGAAAGCAACATTCCACTGTGTTTCGTTGACCAAGGTAAAGTAGAATTAACCCGTGCCTGACCAGACAAGACAAAGTAAGCTTTTCAAATGCCCGATCAAAAACAATAAAATAGAACCTTCCAATACCATGTCCGAGCAAACAATGGAAAGTAATATTCCGCTGTGTTTCGTTGGCCAAGGTAAAGTAGAATTAACCCGTGCCTGACCAGACAAGACAAAGTAAGCTTTTCAATTGCCCGATTAAAAACAATAAAATAGAACCTTCCAATATCTGACCAACCAACCGAAATCGATATAAAATAAATACATCAAGTTTTAATATTCCCTAACTAACAAACAATTCCACCAGAAACCAACTTCCCCTACCATCGGTTTCATTCGCCTCCAAGAGCGAATTCGCCATCTCGAGTAAATACAGGCAGGAAAACTTTCAACTTTATGGCAGTGACGGGAATTTCTCTCTCGCTCCCGTTTTTGCAATTTCGAGATCCCTAGGTCGCGTCGTTCCCCAGGCCGATTTTCCTCCTCCGAGGCCAACGTAGATTTCCCAGAAGCTTCTCGGCGCGTGCAAGGGTCCGATTTACCATTACGTTGAAAAGTGAACACCCTACCGGCGGGGTGGTCGATGAATATGCGAACACCGCCTCAGGTATCGTTCTCCTCCGCGGAGGCTACTTAGAGATGTATATACCGCGTCGCTTCGAACTTGTTCCTGTTTTTTTTTCTCCGAGGTAAAAACAGATAAGAAGCTTTCCAGCAACGTATATATCCCCGACGACGTAGCGTGCCGTAAACGTGGCATTAATATGTTGCTTAACGATTTTGTTCGCTGCGAGAAGAAAACTAGTATGGAAATTCGAGTCATTATTTCGGCGAAAGCTAGCTGAAGCAGTATTAACGATTTCCGGGTGGGTTTAGTGATATTCTAATTATTTTCAAGTAATTAAAACGAGCGATTTCACTGTCAAAGCGGCGAAACACTAGGACAAGTAGAAATATCGAGCTATGGTCAGACGCGTCCACCGAAACCGTAGCAGAGGAATCTTCAGAATTAATTTTCTCGAAAAGGAAGCTTAGCACGAACAAACCACACCGGACACTTCTTACTCCTTTTTAGACGACGAATCGCCCCATGGTAAAATTAAAAATCGACCATCATCATTCTCCGCAGCAGCTATCGAACATTAATATTTCCAAGCTGACCATCGCTGATATCACTGTTTCTCTAAACCGTACTTTATTTAATTCAACAAATATTAACGTACTTTTAATAAATAAAACTACCAAAATAATCGTCCATCGAATTCCACCTCGGATAAAAATCTAGGTAATCCAATTCGGAGCGCGTTAAGTACGGGCGTCCCTCGTCTTCGAAACCGGATAAGAAGCGCCGCGGCCTGACATCCCTCGCCTTCGCGACTCACACCCCTTTTCCAGCGTGAACGTTCATCTTTCAGAGGGGGCGCGGCGCAACCCCCAACCCCGGAAGAAGCGAAGGACGACAGCCAGCAAACTGTTGCGCCTAACCCATCCCCCTCCGGTTCGCTAACGCGTCGTAACTCCCGCAGTTATTTCGCGTCTACTCTTTTTTCGCCAGGAATTCTTTAGGGTGAACGTTCACGTGATGGGGTTGCTGGAAAACTGAACGAGTATACCGCACGGGGCAGGTTAAACGGCCGAGGTAATTGTTCAGAGGTATTTTTCGAGCACCTTTTACTGCTCGTCCTGGAAACAACGGGGGATGAGGGTGAGTTTCTTTTACGAAGGGATGGGAAATTGCATTCATCGTGCTGCGATGGCTTTGCTTTGAGATAATACTGCGTGACTTCTAACAGACGGTGGAAACTGTCTGGAAGTCGAAGGGTGTGTTTAAATAAATAATTATTGTTTAAAAGTTAGCACAGTCGACTACCGTACGGTGGATAGTTTTCAGCGTAGGGTAAATTGGACGAAAATTTCTAATTTCAATTTCCTATAAACTAATCAAGCTAATTACTTCAAGGTACTATTCCATTTATTAACGCTAAATATCAAGGGTTGCTTTTCCGCGTCAAAATTAAGCTTGCAACCGGGTCAGAATGCTTCAAAACCCAACATTTAATGCGCTTAACATTTCACTTGTTCACTGTAAATTCTGATACGTCCAGCGAAACGTAGTATAATACTCAAAGTGTGCTCAACGATATATGATAAATAAATTACGATTGAGGAAAGGGGACCATTAAGGCTAAAAATTCGTAGACGTTTTCAAATAGCAGCAATGTCTTCGAAATAAAAATTTGCTCCGTAGACACCTACAATTAACTGTCCTTATATCCTGATAATATAATAATTTACTTATACCATTTCTTTCTCCTTATATACCACCCTCTACCGCTTCTACATCCTGCACGCTTTATTTCACCCTCGAATCGAGCCAGTTATCCCTGACGAGGACCACGCGTTGGATCGAAACGTCACAACCTCACGAAATTTTTTAACGATTATTTAAACTGCTTAATACCTAGCTAACTGGTTGCGGCACGAATTGAAGCACTCGACGCGGAGTATGTTCGATTCGAAAATCTTTGCGGTCTGGGTATCGACGCGCAGCGATTCGGGTAACGTCGGTCGAATATTCGATTGCGGGCAACAAAGTTTCAAATTTCGAGAATGGGTTTCCACGAATATCCCGGCGTCCCGAGACCACTCGAAACTCGAGCCAGCGGATCCGCCACTTTGAAACTCGCTAACTCATCATCGCCCGCCGGCTCGCAAATGCCGGTTCGATTGACGCCATTGTTCGATTCTCCTTGTATCGAAAGAGTGCTGATCGATTGCCGCGTGGAGAATCCTGAATAGACCCAGGACCCCGATGAGATCAAAGGCTGACAGTTCCCCAGAATCCGCTGGGAATAACTGGAGGGAAAAAAAAGCAGTCGAGGCACGGGGCGGAACTTTTCATTTCGGGATCAGAAAATTCACTTTTCCTTCCAATTTAAAGGCTTTTCCAATTTTCCGCACAATTTATCGTTTGGTTTCAACCATTTTTTTCCCCCTCGCAGCGAAAGAGCGCGATTAAACAAATAGATACACGCAAACGCTCCACCACCTCCCTTTCGTGTTTAATATAAAAATGTCCAAATATTGTTATTTTCAAGACGATTGTATTAATTATAAATTCAAACACGTCGCGTTGAATACTCGCTTTAAATACGTATATTTTCAAAATAAATCCTGGAGCAAACTAAGAGATTCTTCCTAATAAATAAAACCCAATAAACAAACAAAACAATATATATATACATATATTCGAAACAAATCTACCCCAATTGTTACTCCACTGTCTCAAATCCATTCTTCTTAACGTCCTAACGACCCAACGTCCGGGTGCTCCAAAACTTAAGCAAACCTCGACTTTCTAGAAATAAAAAAAAAAAAATAAAAAGAGGAAAGTACGATGAACGGCGTACCTTGAAAACCTCCCACGTGGCGCTGAACGGCAGAACAGCGAGTCCCACCAGCAGATCAGCGGCGGCGAGGCTGACGATGAATATGTTCGTCACGTTTCGTAGTTTGCTGGTGTAGCAGACGGCCAGGATCACGAGGACGTTTCCCAGCACCACCATCACGTTCACGATCGCCAGGACGGTTAGGGTAATCAGGATCCACGGGCCGGACCACTCGACGCGCTCGTACAAAGCAGCGCATGCGGTGGCGTTCAGTTCTCGCATCTTAGTTGCCAATGTCCTTTGGAGCGTCCGTGCGATCCTCTCGAAGGGTCTCGAAGGACTTCCTGAACGACTGTCGAACTGCACTAGGTGAACGCCACGCGACGACCTGGACCTCCATCGCGACCCTCCAACGGACGACCGACGCGGTGATGGATCATCGACTACCGAGGAACGTCATCGTCGGCGAAATGGAAACGAAAGCGTTCGATCACCCTGTCTGGAGGAGTCACGCTTCTTTCGTGGACCTGATTTCGAAATGGAGCGCTCCTGTTCTTTGTTTTTACGATGGGAGGACAGCGGTTCAATTTTGGGGCGAGTTCTCTATCAGAGTACTCTAATTGCCTCGAACGACGACAGAGTACTTCGATCCTTTTTGTTTAATTTTGAAGTGCAGTAGTATAGAGTAGTTTAATGCTTTCTGTTTCAAGCTTGGAGTAGGGTACTTTCGCTTGGAGTATTCTATTTCTGTAACGCTGAAATAGAGTACTTTGATGCCTTTTTGTTAGACAGCGTTAGAGTACAGTAATTTAACTCGCGATTTTTGTAACCTCACCCTTGTCCGGATCCACCGACGGCGCTATTCACTTTTCGCGAATCGTTGCACCGTTTCGGCCTGTTTCGCTCGAGAGGATCCCTCTAATGTTAGCGATTCGACACTCGGAAGTGCGGAGTGAACTCTTACGCTTCTTTTATCCTGGATAAACGATCCAAGTTGAAGAGAAGGGAGTCCAAAGTTCGGCAGACATCGCGTTTCTTCGCCAAAAAAGCAACGTCTTCGCTAGTTGCGATCTACGAGCCCCAAGTTCCCACGCACTTCTTTGTCTCCCGTGATCGTCGCACTCCCCTCCCTCGCTGTCTGATCCTCCGTCTTCGATTTCTCACTCGTCCGTGACTCCAAAGGCACCCACGAATCGTCTGCTTAGTCTTCGAGAACCCTTACTCGCGCCTGTACAATTCGAATCCTTGACGCAAAGCTCGTCGAAAAGCCTTCGACCGACTCCGTCGAACCCTCTAATTTAAATTCTATCCTCTGTCCGTCCCCTTGCCCCTCTAATTTCTTCTCTAGCATACTCTTCAAAGCCAATTATTTCACCCGACAGCCGCCCCACTCCCCCGCAGTCCTCGTTAACCCCTTTCACACGATTCGATCAGTCCAACGCCGCGAGTTTCCAACGCCTCCTTCTATTCGACTTTTCTTCGTCTCGGGCGTTCCGGCGGGTTCCGTGTCCGCCTTTATTCCGCGGAACGTCGACTTCCGGTCGCCTGTTCCCCCACCAACCCTTCACTCGTGCCACCCCCGCGAGTCGTTGGTCCAGTATCGTTGCTCAAACTTGATAGTTCCCATTTCCGCGTCGCGATTTCATCGCCGCGAGGAGAACGTCCCGGCACGCTGACGCTGCTCGTTCGATCCTCGTTTCCCTTCCATTCTAACCCCCCAGCCACCCCTCCATCCGACCTCCACCCACAAAGTATCGCCACGATCGTGTAACTCGTGCACCGCTCTTTCTGCTCCGAATCGTTTTTCAACCACTGATTTTCCTACCCTTTTCAAACGTTCCTCAACCTCGAGTATTCCCTAGTCTCGCGATTCTACACCCCGTGGCTTCTCGAGGCTTTATTCCGCAATCCCTTGGTTTCCGATCGCTCATTCTTCAACTCCTAGTTTCACAATTCCAGTGTTTCCAATCCCTCGACGTTTCGCCATTAGAATTTCATCCTCAACTTTTCACATCTGTTTCTTTTTTCACCCTTTTTTAATCTCCGCAGTTCCGTCCGGATCGAGGAACGCTCTTCGAGGGGGACAATCCTCCCCAAAGGTTTGAAAGACGGGTTCGATTCGATCCCGAAGACGCGACACTTACGACATCCTTCCGACACTGATTCTCCTTTCGCGAAAAGCAGTTTACTCGAAGCTTTTTGAAGGTAGTTTTAGACGAGATCGCGAACTCCTTCGGTAGTGAAAGGATTTTCTGTCGACAGACAGGACTGAAGGGTGAGAATTTTTCGCAGGGTACACAGAGAGTATTGTCACTTTTTATTGATTAATTCTTCAATTTTCATCGGGGACCAGAGTTTGCCTTAACGATAACGATAATAAAGATTTCTTTGGTTACGGTTGAATCTCACCCCTTACAACGACGCTAACTTCGTGATTTTCTCGTCACTCGTTTCCTCCTGTCAAAACCGCCGCTTTCGATTCGTGTTTCAATTTTTTCCTGCGTCCCACTATCACCCGCGAGTTCGAACTGAATTTCAAAAGTAAGAATTTCCTCAATTTAAAGTCCCCTACCTTCTTTGCTCTTATCTTGGAGGTTTCGAAAACTTTACCACACGCTTCTCCAACCCTGTTTTCCTTCCACCGTTGACTTAGGAGTTCACAATTTCCAGAGGCTATTCGAAATTTTATCTTCGGCCACTGCGTATCCGGACCCTTCCGCGAGTCCCTGGTCGATTAAATTTTTAATCACGCAATGAACTCCGACTGTCCACAATTCCTTATCGTTCGAACCAACAAACTTCCAGTGGTGCTTGTCTTCGTCCAACCCCCGAATACTTAATTCTCCTTTCCCTCCATCTTAACCTTTAATCACCCACGAAACTTCCAGGCCCAGAGATTCTTGATTTCGTCTCTGGCACGGTTTCCTCGATCTTCTCGAAATTGCCCCAATTGCCTCGAGGAACCTCTTTCGAATTTTTCTGCGCTCGTCCCGGTTTATCTTAAAATCCCCCTCCCAGAAAATTCCAGTCACTGTTTGAGATTCCCTCGAACGTCGAACGCTGCACCCACTCGGCAATTTTATTCCCTTTGCAGCCAGTCGATTCCTCAACCGTGCCACGAGTCTGGTCTGTAAACCAACAGAATTTCAATGCGACCACCTAAGTCTCTCGGTCTTCGAGGAACACCTTTCCTCGAGCTTGGTTTCCCTCGACAAAAATTCCTGCTACTCTGTAACTCTCGAGACACCTTCTCTACCTTCGCAATGGTATCTTCCGACTAATGGGGACCCTATGTAGACCGAACGAAGTCTCCAGGGACCAGCTACGTGTTCCCAGAGCGATTGAAAACGTTTCAGTCTGCGAGAAACCTTTTGATTTCCCTTGACAAAAATTCTTGTCACCTTGTAACTCTGTGCAAACTCCCGAAACACCTTCTCTGCCTTCGCAGCGGCCTATTCCATCAAATAGAACCCTTGCAACAATGTCTAGCCTCCGGAAGCCAGCCACGTGTCCGTCGGTAGATGTTCCGAAAGCGATCGGTAAACGTCCACGTTCCAAATTCTCCAGGAATGATCGATGCACGAAAACGATGCCTCCAATGGACGGACTCTCGCACTCACAGTCACACTCGCGCGCGGTGTCGACGAACTTCGTAGCACAGGAGGATCGCGATGGAGGCCTAGGTCGTGGTCTATCGTCGCGTGATCACAGCCAAGGTCGGCTCTGTATCAGTTAAAGTAGTTACGTCTCATCTGTCGGTCTAACTCTCGATCTCCTTAGGCCCGAGAACGCTGGACTAGATGATCTTCCGACACTTGGCACGGTGCGTGTACCTCAGCAGTCTGAAGCGCGTCTCCTCCTCGATGCGCTTCGCTCGCATTATTCCGCCAGCGAGGCCTCCGAAGCGTGTTCAAGCGGGAGCTGCGTCGCGACTGGCCGCTGATCGTGATCTGAAAAGAAATCAAGCGTTAGCTCGAACGGCTCCGACGATCGAGACGTGGGTTGCCGTGGCATTGATCGATCGAACGACTTTCGCGTCGGTAGCCGTATACGCGTCGATTGCTCGGCGAGGTGGGATCGACGGAGACTTGGAAATCGGTCGGGCGGTCGCGTTTTCCCGATCGCGTCTGGAGAGCGCGCGCTTTCGACCCGAGTTTTCGCGAGGAGCCTTGGCGTGCGCTTGTTTGGCCAGGCAAGAGAGCTAATCCCCTCGCTGGATGGAGGATAAGCAGGATGGAGTACTTGTCCGTATATGCATTAGACGGCGCGGCCGTTCGACTGGCTGGAAGTAATCCTATTGTAGCTGTCTGGCCATGCACGGGCGTGGACTACTGTCTGACCATGTGCAAGCCTATTGTACTTGTCTGATCGCGCACTGTCGTATTCTACTGCCGCAGGAGAGCCTGTTGTAGGAGAGCCTGTTGTAGGAGAGCCTGTTGTGTCGGGCCTCGTCAGGTTGTCGTGAAAAGATTGATTGATTATGCATGCGCGGATGCACCGGGAGCCTAATGTACTTTTCCGGCCGCATACTAACGTACCCCATTACCAGATAACGGCCATGACTGGATATTGCAGCGGTCTCTTGTATGCATATGTTCGCATATCGTACCTGGTTAGTTATTTAGGACGGTAATAATTCTCGAATGGAAAGAATTATAGGTTCGTTCGATCTTCAGACCTCCATTGTACTGCACTCGTATGTCGTACTTTTCCGTCTGACCATATATAATCACATTTCACTACTTGATCATATACAATCACGTTATACTGCTTGAGCAAAGTTTACTGTTTCGTACGCGTTCAGACAACTACAACAGGGTCAAGTAGGGTCACTCGAAGACATTAGGCTTGTGTATATTGGAATATAGACGGTGGAATACACGAGCTAGACTCTTCTTTTACCGTTGACTTTAAAAACTTTATCGGAGACACAAGGAAGGGTACGTCTGTTCTGCACGAAAGAAGCAGCTCGAACGAATGAATGTGAGGTCAGTAACGAAGAATTTCGTTACTGAACTATAGACCCTATCGGTTCCATACTTTGTCTAAACAAGCCAAGATGGGACGCAGCTGCACCCTCTCGACTTGTGTCTAGGAACGAAACCCAAACGCGCAGAGATGGTTTATTGCAACGAAAACTTTCTCTTTTAGTGAAAAGAAAATCCAACAGTATTCGACCAGACCTACCACGGCCTACTGACACGTGCTCTCCGAGCCGAGATATCTAGGAAACAATGCTACTTTACGTTCTACGCTGCGAGACGATGCAAAAAGTTCCCCACAAAAAAAAAAGTAGTATCTGC